CTGCTCAACCACAGCTTCGAGTACAACCTGGCCGCCCTCTCCTCCTGGGTGGAGTTCACGCTGGAGAAGCTCCTCTTCCCAGGTTGGCCGCCCTGCCCCTCCCTGCCACCCCCCCTGCCTGCCATCCCCTGGCTCTGCCCGGCTGCACGTGGCTCGCCCAGCGCCCGCCCGGTTGGCAGCAAAGCGCTGCTGACCCCCGCTGAGTTGACCCGTGCTGGCAGCGGAGGAGGGCTTTGACATGGCCTTAATCTCTCTGTGCTGAAAGCCGCTTGGTTTTGCTCTTGGGAGGCCTTGCACCGACATGCCGGGCTGTCTTTGCCGTTTATCAGGTCTTCAGCCCTTTCCTGGCTGCGTCTTTTGAGCAGCTTTGGTGGTACAAAGAACGACGCTTCAGTTATGCCTGGGCGTCTTCTTTTGACCTGGAATAAAATCAAATCGGCAAAAACTGTTGCTGGTTGCCCACTCTGAGGTGCTTCCTTTCTTTTGGGAGAGGGGAGACGTTCTCCTTCCCCGCTTCATGATGGCAGTGCAGGCTGCAGAGCTCCCCGTGTCCAGCCTGAGCGCGTCTGCTTGGCTGTATTTTGCGTCAGCTTTACTCTACGCCGTAAAGCCGGGCTCTGCCTCAGCACTGGGCTCCCCTTAGGGCGACCTGCCGCGAGGACGTACAGACTCCGCGTCGGGGGTGACTCCGTGGCGGGGGATGCTATTTTTATTTTTTTTTTGGTGGCAGGACGGCAGTGCGTGGAACGCTGGCTGTGTTTTAGTCGCTGTCGGGCTTTGAGATGGGGGGGGAAAGCTCACCGCGAGCGTGACCTGTGCAAACCTGTTGTGACCCGTCCTTATTCACTTGCAGAGCTGAAGCAGATCACCTGGCTGAGTACTGTAGGGTTGTTGATGGTGATCTTTGGGGATTGTCTGAGGAAAGCGGCCATGCTCACAGCTGGCTCCAACTTCAACCATATTGTTCAGAATGAGAAATCGGATACTCATACTTTGGTGACAAGTGGGGTGTATGGGTGGTTCCGGCACCCGTCTTACGTGGGATGGTTTTACTGGAGTATTGGAACACAGGTACCGTATACAACGCACTCAGATACTTTCGTCTCATAACCTGGGTCTTTCTTCTTAATGCTGCCCACACCTGTCAGGGGATGCAAACCGCCGGTGGTCAGCGGCAGGGGTGGCCTGGGTGCGGATTTTGATGCCTCCTCCCTCCCACCGGCATGTGGGGGGCCAGGACACCCTGAGCGCTCTGCCCCGTGCAATCTCTGCGAAGACCCCATCACCTTAATTTTCTGTGTGGGATATGCAGGGGCAGTGGGGCCAGGGTTTGAGCCAGAATGCCTTCGGAGGCTTGGGGTGCGATCTGCTGCTAGCCTAAAGCTGGTGTCCGGAGTTTCCTTGCATTCCTATGGCCAAAATGCCTTCTGTAAGCGGTCAGGCTCAACCTCGCTCCTGCCAAATACCAGTCCTGTGCCGGAGGGCAAAGAAAACTCCCCCTAAATGTGCCCAGCACCCTGACCAGAGGGTAAGCTGGAAGCCAGCTGTGGTCGAGCTGTAACTCAGCGCTGCCTTAGTCACGCTCTTCTCGTGGTTGGCTAGTGGTTGGCATTTGGTTTTATTTCTCTGGAGAGAGACCGTAAAGACTGCACGCGGAGCAGCGCGGCCATGCACAGGCTCTCTGGAGCCGGGGTGGCAGGAGCTGGCCGCTGCCCACGGGCTGCTTTCTTCATGAGCGCTAATTTTTCCCCAGAGTGAAATTCCACAAAAGGTGCTGGGGTCTTGTGTTTTCTTTGGAAAGCGTTTAGACCTCATGGCAAACTTAATGAAGGGCAATTAGCACGCGGGGGCGGGGGGCAGCCTCGGTTTCTTTGGGAGGTGAGGGGATGCTAACCGCCGGTGTCTGTTCGCAGGTGTTACTCTGCAATCCCATCTGCGTGGTGGGCTACGCGCTGGCATCCTGGCGCTTCTTCAGGGAGCGGATTGAGGAGGAGGAGATCACGCTCATTCACTTCTTTGGAGAAGAGTACCTGGAGTACAAAAGGAAGGTGCCATCGGGTCTCCCTTTTATTAAAGGAGTCAAAGTAGAACTGTAACGCAGGTGAAAACTGGACTGGCTGGGCGAACGCCCAGCTCCAGGCGCTGCAGGGCGAGGGACGGTGCATGGTGCTGGTGCCAGAAGTAGCCCTGTGGTGTTTCCCGGCCTCCCAGGAGGAGCTGGCAAAGGGCTGTGGAGCTGGGCGGCCTGCCGGGTCGCTAGCAGATCAGAAGCTCGTTCGTCCTCCTTGAGATAAATCCTTTGTTGCACATTCAGGGATCTTCCAGATAACTTAGCCTGTAGCCACCCTAAAGAGAATCGAACCCTCCTGCCTGCAGCGGCTGAATTGTACTGAAACGCCTCCGGACCGATTCTTCCGGAGAACAGCTCTGCCCTCCCGCCCCCGTGCAGGAAAGGCGCCGGTCAGCGGATTGTTCCTACGGCGTAATTCGATTTTAAAGCTTTTTGACCTTGCCAGCCAGGCAGCGCGGCTTTAATCTCTTTAGGCCCGATTCTGCAAGCTGGCGCTCGGGCGGCTCGCAGGAGCAGGCCTCCGGCTCTTTGGGCACGGGGGCTGCCTACCCTCTGCTTGCCGGAGAGCCGGCAGCGTGGCACCAATCGGGTCTCCCTCAGGCGTTAATGTTCCCAGGGAGCCTTTTCTGCTCGGCTCATGCCACTGGATCGTGAGTGCCTCTGAAATGCGGCAGGGGAGGGAGCCCGCTCCCTCCTCCCTTGGCTGCTGCCGTGAATTTGGGAGTCACTGTTTTAGCTGCCGCCTTCCTGAGCCCCCCTGCTGCCACCTCTGTTCCCTCTTCCCGCTTCCAAATCACGCTGCTTCCTATCCTGCCAGGCCACCTCCGTCCTGCAGAGATCCCAGGATTTTGGTTTGGGAAAGAACCGCAGCTGCCGGGCTTGCTGAGAGCTTTAGTGCTCGAGATCCTTGCCTGCTTTTTTGGGCGAAACCTGGGATATCGGCGTGACTAGGAGATGCTTCTAGGGAAATTCTCCAAATGGGGAAAAAAGTTTGGCTAGCTAACGCTATTTTAAACGTTACCATTTTGGAAGTGGTTCCTACTCAAGCTTTGTGGTATAACTTATTCTGTCGTTATATACCAAAGAGGTTCACTGTTTTCTTGAGTTTTACTTTATTCTTCCTAGCTGGAATGGAAATGAGTTGCTTGTCAGTTCATGCTTCAGGCTTGCAGTGTTCCTTGGTGAAGGTGCTGTGGTACGGCTCAGGAAAGGGGGCACTGATGGAAATTGCTTTGGTTTCGGGTTTGTTTTGTTTTTTTTTATATAAAAAACCAAGAAAAAATATTGCCAACTTCTGTCTGGTGATTATTTGGAGACCTCTTGGGGTGCCGGTGACATCATCGAAACTGGAATCCTTACTTTTACAATTCCAGTGAGTTTTGGGTACACTCCAGTGTTGCGCTGAAGCACGACCATGACTCGCAGTGACTCGCAGGGCTGCACAGCCACAGAGACGGGGTGGATTTGCTGTCTCTCCTCGCTTAACCGATGCAGACTCCTTCCTCCGCCGGGTTTGCTTTGTATTCCAGAGCGTGTTCTGCATGGAGCATCTGCTTGACGCCTTTGCTGGTAATTTGTCTTTTACCGAGCATTTTTAGCTTGGGAGAAAAGAGCAAATGTGAAAATATACCAGCCGGATAGCACCGATTTCTCTGCGTAGTTGCTCCTAGGCTCCTGCTCAGGCTTTTCTGTGCCTCCGATGCACGTCCTCACGGAAACTGCGACCTGCTGTTGTAGCCAACAAGCCTCGGGTGAGTTAATTTTTAACTAATTTTATTGTAGGTGTTAACGTTTCTGCTGTGGGCTTGCACAAGTGTACTTTGAAACAAACAAAGCGATTGTTGCTTGGGTTTGATGTGAGCTGAGGATGGAAACTAAGCTTTATTCTCAAGTTGGTTTTGGTAGTAAATGCCAGAGTGTGCCAGCACTAGCTCTGACCCTGGTTCCCACTGTGCGGCAGCGGGGTCTGCCCAAGAGATGTGTTAGCACCAAAAGAAAGGGATAAACTTCACCTTGAGCAAAATATTCAGAGCCCTCTCGGTGCTTTTGAGACCAGCAGCCTCTCCTAACCGTTTATTTTCCCGAATCCTGTGACTGGAAGCTTGGTGAGGAGGCAGGAGCTCGCCAGGCGCGGGGAAGGTGTCTGAATCTTTAGCAGAAAGCTGGAGTAAGCTGGCTGTGCCGGCTGCTCTCCTGCACCGCAGCAGTTGGTAAGTTCTTAAATGGCACAGATGCACAAGGACCAGAGCACCTCTTTCTAGTGCCCTGCCTGCATTTTTGCCTCTGCTGCCTGTTGGTGGTTTGCAGGACGCTCCGAGACCCTGCGGTGAGCTCCTGGCTCTACACTACACCAGGTTTTTTTTTTTGACTTTTTCCTCCATGTTTGCAAACTTTGTGGTTTTAAGAGCAGCTGGACACCCCGAGCTGGCAGGCCCATTTTGTCCGGAGCCGCAGAACCAAGCGGACATGTACGCTTGTGCCCCTTTATTCCACTTCTAACACACGAGAGGGAGAGTATCAAGACAATTATTTTTTTCAGATGAACAAAGTCACCCTAAGGCAGGCTTTTGATACGCTGCAGACACTGAGTGCCTGGGCTGTGTTTGCGTGGCTCATGGCACAGGGCCAGAGGAGCCGGACAGCAACCAGGCCGCAACAACCGGAGCAGCTCCGCGTGCTCGCTCGGCGTCGGGCTCTATGGTGCAAACTCTTTCCAGGCAGCGCTCTCGGCCCCGCTTTTCTGCTGTCCCCCGCAGCAGTCTTTGCTTTTCGGGGATGG